AACAAAAAGTAACAAACGTTAATGGAATAACTGGCTTTTTTTTAATTCTTAAAATATATTATTAATAGACAGGTATGATTAATAATGCAGGACCAAGTATTAATAAGGCAGATCTTAGTAGTTCTAGTTGAAGCTGGCTGTGCTTCATGCCTCCTCATACCTCACGCCACCTTCCCTGTGCTCCCCTTTCCTCATCCCCCATCTTCCCATACAAATGTTATAGTTGGCAATTCCCACTGCGAGCGTGTGTGCCCAGTGGGCAGCAAAGTCATGCTCACTGGTTTATTTAAATGTGATATTACCAGGAGCATGGGAGTAGTTGGAAGGACCTTGGAAACTATGCATTGAACAAATATTTATTGAGTACATACTATGTGCCAGACACTATGCTAAGCCTTAGAGATAGAGCAGAAGACAGAAAAAAAGATTTCCACACTCCTGGAGCTTATTATTAAGGAGGGAGACAGATAATAAATAAGCACATGAAACTTAGAGTATGTCAAATGTTAAGAAGTATGACAAAGACAAAGTAGAGAAAGGGTGTGAGGATTGCTATGGTAGGAGATGGAAGGTTATCCTTTTAATAGTGGGCGGTTAGAGGTGGCCTCATTTGAGCAAACAGCTGAAGGAGGTAAGGGAGTGAAGAGTGCGGCTGACTAGGGAGGAGCATGTCTGCAGAAGGAACAGCAAATGCAAAACCTCTGAGGCAGGAGCATGCCTGGCCTCTTCAAAGAAGAGCAGGGCAGCTAGTGGGACTGGAAAGGAGACTGACAGAGAAAGAGGTGAAAGAGGTCATGGAAAACTGGATGGTGTGGGACCTTGCAGACCAGCAAGGACTTAGCCTAAATGAAATGAAAAGTTTTTGAAGGGTTTTGAAAAGTGGAATGATATGATCTGATTTATGTAATAAAATTACTCAGGTAGCTCCCTGTGGGTGGTGATAGAGATAGAAGCAAGGAGACCATTTAGGACATAGGGCAATCTTCTACATGGGTGATAGAGCTTAGGTCGTAAGAATGAGTCTCTGGAGCCAGACTGGCTGGGTTCAAATCCCAGCAATGCCACCTACTAGCTGCATGACCTGGGGCAGACCATGTAATAAGCTCTCTGTGTCTCAGTTTCCTCATCTATAGAATGGGGATAATAATGGTACCTACCTCATAGGGGTTTTGTAAGGATTAAATGAGTTATTAAATGTGAAACACTTAGAACATAGGGTTGTATGAGGATTAAGTGAGTCAAAACACCTGTTACAGCACATAGCAAATGCTGCTTCTGTGTTTGAGTTCTTGTTATCATTATTATCTTCTGAGTGAGAGATGATTGTGGCTCAGGCCAAAGTGGTTGCAGTGAAAGAAAAATGGTCATTTGGAGGGGTGTTTTCAAGGTAGAGCCAACAGAATTTGGTGACATATTGGATGTGTGGAATGCAAAGATAGAGGAGTCTCCTCTCTCCTCTTTAGGAGGATGAGACTCCTCCACCACCCTCCTATTACAGATGAAGAAACTGAGAACAGCTGAGTCCACCATTGTTAATACCAAGTTTTTTTTTTTTATTAAGTAGGCTCCACATCTCAGGCTTGAACTTATGACCCTGAAATTAGGAGTCACATGCTCCACCAACTGAGCCTTAAAGAGCCTTGTTGCTAAATAGTTTAACATTAACAGAAATCAAAATTAAAAACAAGTTCACTCTAACATAAAAATCCCAATGTAATAAGCTATTTTAATTTTTATCTATTCCCTTCAATTCTTAACATTATACATGCATGATTCTCAAATAATTATGATAATTTCATTAATATAACTTTATATTCAAAAAAATAGAGGTAGGAGACACTTCATGATTCTAGCAAGGGTTCATTGGTCAAACATTAAGGAAATTAATGTGCTCCACACCATTTATACTTCAGGATATATACAGGGCACAGCACTCCCATTTTAAGATGAAACAACATACAGTCCTGAATTAGCTGCTAAAAGAGAGCTGTGGGAAGCAGAGAGTCATTCTTTCATTTATTTTCTCAGCGAACTTTTAAGTGAGTCTATATACAGCTACTAGATAAGTTGATTGATAAGTAGATCACACTTTTTTATTTCAAGGAGTTAGGTGGGGACAAGAGCACATTGCTATAATTGGTTTTTATATCTAAGAACTATACACATACATAGAGGTATGCGTATGCAAGTTACCTTGGAAGCACCACGGAGGATACACTTAATTCTGCTTGTAAAGGTAGGGAGGCTTCCAAAGAGAGATGACATCTGGAAACTATAGTCTTCCAATAGGGCACAGAAGAGACTTTGTTCACTGACTTGCGTTGTTGACTGTTCTGACCACCTTTCCCACTAGGCTACGTGTGTATCTCTCATCCCTGGCACTGTCCAGATGCCTGACACATGGTCACTGATCTTTTACTGTCTGTTGAAAAACACACAGCATATCTTTAAAAAGTGACCAAAACAGCGGCAAATGAAGAAATCACATAAGTACAATAGCTTTATAAGTCTTTGGCGGGAGGCTGAGGGAAGGGGAGGTTGTCAAAAAAAATTCTTCCTGACTTCCACAAGGACCACATCTTTCACCCGAAGTCTTGCTTAATGGGTGGTCCGGGGACAGAAGCTACTCTGGGTACTCCAGGTAGGAAGGGTTTAGTACAGGGAATTAGAGACTTGCACAAACATTAGATAAGCTGGAGGCGAGAAGGCTCAGGGAAGCCACTGTTAGAGGCTATAAAAGCAAAATATGCTGGGATCTCAAAGAAGCCCCCGCACTCCCAACTGCTTGTACTACCAAAGCAGGTGATTTGCAGAAGCTTGCCCAGAAATCACTGCAAACCTTCGTTCTGTCATCTGCTAATATATTTGCCCCCAGTTGCCGCCAGAGAAAAATTACTTCTCTCCTGCCTTCAATCTTTCACAAGTGCTTCTCATTAGCAGAGTATAACCCAGAACCATCTAGGAAGAAAGATGCCCCAAAATTCCAGACTTCTCTCCTGCAATGCCAAGATTTTAGGAAAGGGCAGTGCTTACGCTGAATCGACGACAGGCAGCTCAGCATAAATGGCTTCCCCAAGATGAAGACGATTTCTTCATCTCTGAGCAGGGAGCTGTACACAGCTCTGGTAACGTCTCATTCTACTTTCCCTACCCCTAGGAAGCTGTCGTGTTCAGTCCAAACATCTTCCTGATGGAGCAGTATGGTACCTATAACATTTCCATACAACCAAATCATAAAAGTCTGCTATTTAGTAAGCAGATCCAGGCAGTGTCAAGGGTCAGAAAGAACTCCAATTTTGGAGGCGGACACACTCTTGAGTGCTGATCTCAGCTCTGCTGTTGTTAGCTGTGTCAAACTAAGCCATTGAACTCTTCTAAAAAAGGTGGAGAGTATAACATAATCAGAACTCTATAAAAAATACACATATAAGAATGTTTATAACAGTATTTTTAAATAGACAATTTATTATATGAGTTATGATACCTCCCTATTAAATAATCTCATGTATCCACTTAAAATTATCTTATAGAAGAAAAAGGTTGACATGGGAAAATGCTCATGATACGGTGAGAAAAGCGAGTATGAGCACTGTGATTCCATTTTTATAAAAACAACTATATAACTGAAAGCCTATTTATACCAAAATTTTAACAGCAATTACCTCCAAGGGTACTTAGGATTACAGCTGGGGTTTTCTCCGATGTTCAGCATTGAGTGTGTATTACGTTTTTAAGCTTAAAAAATTATATAAAAATAAAAAGTAGGACTCAATAAAATTGAGAGAAGTAAATCAGACAATATATGCAAAGTTCCTGATACATTTTCAATCAATGATAGTTCCCTGTTCATTTAGAAATGATTTTACTTTATTTTATATTCTGAATAAATAATAGTCACATTCAAACATAAAGTAAGGAAATGAGAATTATCACTCTTACCTCAGGCCTCCAGACACTCCCTTCCTTTTCCTACATTCATCAGTGTTATTGGTTTCTTACATATCCTTTAGGGAAAATATGCACATACAAGCAAATATATAAAGTTATGTGTTATTTTCACTCATTTTTTACACAAATGGTAGCATATTCTACTACCTTTATGACCCTTTATACTCTTATTTTATGTTCCTCCTATTGGTAATCTTTCCATATCGGTATAGACAGATATTACAATAATTTGTAGCATTTATTTAACCAGTCCTCTACTGGTGGACATTCAAACCAGTGATACCTTCTGAAGGAGGCCCCAGACACAAGGGATGCAAGGGCGGCCTGCACTTCAGGAATGACTTCCCCATCCTGGTCTCTTCTGGGCTTGCAAGCATCATCTGCTCCATGGGCTCCAGTCCTATCTTTGCCTCGGCTTCTGAGACTGAGGGGCTTCAAGAGACCTCATACTGGTTCCAGCTCAAACCCATACTGGTTACAGTCTTTTTACCTATTTCTTTGCCTTTTTTTTTTTTTTGGCAGTGACCCGGGTCTGGCATGATTCTGAAGACATTCTAGTCTAGGATCTAAGAGCTGATAAGCCATGTGCCATGTATTTAATAATCTGTCCCCTCCATGGGGCTCTCTGTGTCACTTTTTACTTCTGTCTTCCAACCTCAGTGTTTTCTCGGGAGAGGTCAGTGGCCCATGTATCCCAGAGCTCCCTCTCCCTCTTCCCTCATCCTCCTTACCATCTTGGAGGATCTGGAAATAGGACTGGGGTGTTATTCCCTAACACCCCGGGTGACAAGGGTAGTGATAATGAGGAGCCAGGCCCGGGGTGCAGTGTTGACACAAGGGGGTGGCAGCTGGATCTACTGGCCCCTGCCAGATAATCAGGAATGTAGACGTGCAGAGTTAAGTGAGACATGCTTGGCCTGTGGTAAGTCTTCTGGATGAGAATCCCTGGTGGTAGTCTGGGGGAGGTAGTTAGGATCTAAGCCAATAAGAATGGCCTAATCCTTATCCTTATATAAAGCCTATAAAGAGAACCCTTTGGGTCATTTATTAATTTGATAACTGAACTGATACCGATACTGATTCAATACATTACATGCAAAGCACTCTATTAGGTGGTTCTGCAGTCTGTGTGTTATCATTTTACGCATTTTGTTTTGCCTTTCTTGCTGGGGTCACTAAGTCACACAATCTCTTTCATTGTTTTTGCTTCAAACTTTTGTGGTCTTTCAAGACCTGCAAGTTTTTTTCCTGGGGCTCAACCTATAGACCAGAGTTCAAGTCCTTGAAAGTCACAGTTTAAATCAGGGCAGTCACAGACACAGACATCTCATCAGGCTGGCACATAGACAAGCTGAATCAATGTTGTCTACACTGAACTGATGCAGGTCAACGAAAGCCTTCTTGAACTGCATGGGCTACCACGTGCCCTCGCCCTTGTTCACTTGAGATAATGGCCTTAGGGACAATTATCAACCTAATTTCTTTCTACATCAATGTAGATTTGATGTCCAGTAATACATGTGCTGTACCTTTAATGGCCTTTTAATGATGAAGAGTATCAAAAGCATTTTAGATGTGAAACTGCACCATTAGTTTCCATTCCAGAAATCCACTGTCATTACCGCAGCTGCCTCTCTAAGCCCGACGAGAGCATCGAGTTGCTGTGCACATGGCTGTGCAGTTAATCACCATCAGTGAGGAGCCGTGTCTGATGCAGCTCCGGAAGGTGGTTACTGAAGGTGGAGGACAGGGTGTGGTCCAGGAGGGAGCGGAACAGAACAGAGTGAAGGGCCGAGTCGATTCAGGGCCTGGAGTGTAAAGATCCCTCAGAACAGGGGTTCTCCCAGCCCTGCTCTTCTCTTCTCTCCTCATGTCATATTGAAAAAAACTACGGGTTCTTGGTAATTCTCCATTCTCCCCCATCCCATTTATGAAGATCCGGCAGGGGCAGGGGAGTGTGTGGGGCAGAGGATGCAGGGTGCCCAGCTGAGTGAATGTGAATAGGCAGAATTTGGGGGAGAGGGCATGGAGAGAAGGATCTAAGGGAGAGTGATTCTTCCCAGGGAAGGGCGGTGTTCCGAAGGAATTCATAGTGAGCTGTTTATTCTTTTGAATCCCTATCCTCAAGATCCATTGTCTGCTGTTCCCTGTGCCCCGGGAGGCTGACCACTGGGGACCTCATCACCCAGGCTTTCTTGCCCCGTGGGTTCCAATGGTCTTTGGCCATAGGAGGGCACTGGCAGGAGACGTGAGGGTCTAAGGAGCCAGGGGTCAGGGCATGTCTTCCTCCATCCCCTTCCTGCATAGGCATTGCAGTTCTGGCCCTGGTTGCATCCCTCCACAACTATAGCTTCCGTTAGGAAGCTCTTCTTCCATGGCACCAGCTCCAATAACATGTTTTCACTCCTTGCCCTTGGACTAGGGGTGGTATAAGCTACCTGTTTTTGCTAGCTAGTGGATACTTCAAAATCCCATACAGATTCCCTTAACCCCATTCACACCTCTGTAAATAGTATGCTCATTAAATTCAAAACCCCAGCTGAGTGTGCCATCTGTTTCCTGCAAGAACCCTGATTGATACAATGGGTGTGTCAGAAATCAACTCATGTTTACCCATCCTGTTTCCTTTTCCTGGACACACAGGAAGACTACATTTCCCATTCTCCCTTGCATTTAGATTGAGGTTCTGAGACTGGGTTCTGGCCAGTGGGATGAAGTATGACTTCCAAGCCTGGCCATAAAACATCTTTTGCCATTGTCCCCACTCTCTTCATTTTCCAAGGTAACATTGGAAGTTATATATTTAAGGTTACAATGTCTCAAGCTAGAAGAAGTTTGGATCCCTGAGTCACTGCTTGGAGGAGAATTGCCCAACTGTATTCAACTACGATATGAGTGAGAAATAGCCTTTATTGTGTTATGCCACTGTGATCCTGAGAGTGGTTTGTTACCACAATGAGGGTTAATTACTTTGACTACTTCAGTTGAGGTTTTAAATGAAGAGGCCACCTAGACCAAAGGAGTGTTCAAGGTATAAAGATAAGGAAGCGTATGATTTTCTAACTTGAGTGATACTGCACTGAGAGGTAACAGAGTATTAGCATTATTGCTTTGTGAAAAGAACAGGGATTTGGCCATCAGAGATGAGTTTAAATCTAGGCTTCACCACTTCTAGTGACGTGATCTTGGGCTAGTAACTTCACTTTTTTAAGTTTTCCTGTATGTAGTTTTAAGTTTTCCTTTGCCTTTTTAAGTTTTCCTATCTGTAGAATATCTATCTCATAAGGCTCTTTTGTGGATAGATGACTTATGTCTATAATAGTTGGTACTCAATAAAAGTTCCCTCTTTTTCCTCTTTCAGCTGTGAATTATAAACTCTGTGCCACTAGTAATTGGTAAATAATTTCAGCTTGTGAGGCATCTGTTTCTTAATCTCTAATGGCAGAGAACAATTCACATTACCCTGAGCATCCCGGTATGGAAGTAGCTTGAATATTGACCAGGAAAAAGGGATTTCCTTTAGGTCTTGGACTTAGGCATTAACTCTTTCACTTCTCTGCCCTCCAGGCCCCATCTTGAAATTTGCAGGCCACCTAATGCACGTGTCAAGTCAAGCAAAATTGAGTCCCAGTGCCATTTCTTACTTCATGAATGAGTTTAGATCCTGGGACTAACATGTCTTTTGGGAAAGTAAAGAGAAAGGACTCTCCATGGAAACTTTTTCATGATCAAGAGGGCTTATTTGTCCATCCATCCATCCATCCATCCACAAATCCAGAAAATAACCATTTAGTGCCTAGCATATGTGAAAACATTTCTAGGCCCTGTAGTAGATACAAAGATGGATTAGACACATCTGCCCTGAACAGCTTACATTCTTGCCGAAGAGAAGATAATTTAACTTCACAAATAACTGCAAGACAGACCAGGTTGTGGTAAGCATGGAAGACCACATACAAAGTGCTATGGAATTCAGAGGAAGGGAAACCCCTTCTGGCTGAAGACACCAGGGAGCATTTGAGTACATCTTAAAGGTAAGGCAGGATTTGGACATATGGAGATGAGGGAAGAGACCCTTGGGGAAACAGAGGCTGATAGTTTGGCCAGAACACAGCTGCCAAGAGGGGGGTTGAGGGAAACAGTTTTAGAAATGTCACCTAAGAGCAAATTGTGCAGAGCCTGAATTCTAGGCTAAAATGCCTTAGAGGAGGGCAGAGACAGGTCGTCAAAGGTTTCTGAGCATTGGGTTGGCGTGTGCCTTGGGAAGGGTAGTTGGGAAGCTGTGTTCAGCAACTTTGGAGGCAGCAGGAGGTGGGGATAAAGAGCCCAACTAGAAGACCTGCAGCGATCTAGGTAAACTTTAATGTGGGACTAAACTAGGATAGAATGTATGGACTGTAAAGAATGTTGGGAAGAATCATTTAACATGTATTTATTCTGTATCTGTTCTCCTTCTGTCATTCACTATAGGGGATGAAAACTAAGCAACACAACTCTTGCCTCCTTGGTGCTTAGCATATGACTGGAGGGATGAATCAGTCAAGGGAAGTTGGTCCCTTCTAAACTCTTTCCCTTGATGGCTCACACAGCGTAAGTGTAAGCTGGTTTACTGTCCCACTTGCACCCCGTCAACAGCGTCCTGTCTCCACCCCAACAGAATCAAAGAGAAGATCGGGAATAACGTTTTAAGTTATGGTCTGCTGTCCAAGCTTATTTAACATCCTATAGTACTGATTATATGCTCTATATATCTTACTATATACTCTATTTTAAGAGCTTTATAAATACTACATTATTTATTTTCATAATAATCCTATGAGGTAGGCACTATTATCATTCCCATTTTATAAAGGAGGGCACTGAGGCACAGAGAGATTAAATAATTTTTCCAAAGTCATACAGCTAGTAAGCTGCAGATCTAGAGTTTAGAACCCAAGGAATCTGGCTCCAGAATCTTACACTTAACCTTTACATTGTACTGCCTCCTGGCAACACTGCTTGCCCTTTGCCCACCTGCAATGAGTCATAGCCAAAAAGGAATTACTCTTGGACCTTACGGGTCCCCACTGAATCAGTTCTCTCTTCTTGGCTTGTGATGCTGTCCGAGGTCACAGTGAGCTAAAATCTGCTCAGTGATCTCTGGTACAGTCATAGTTACAGTCAATGCTGAATTTGACTGCCCCACCCTGTTGGGTAACCAGCCAAGAAGCTGGGTGGGGCTGAGGGACAGCCATCTTATGAAATGTGGTCCTTTAACTCTTTGTTCAGAGTGGTCAAGTTAGTGCTGTTACCCACATACTGTTGTGGAAGAGGCAGACATAATGGCGATGCCCACAGCATGGGCTCTGATATTTACTACCCAAGAACCCGTGGACTAAGTATCAGTTTCCCTATCCCCAAAATGGGGGTATTACGTAGGAGTTTCCTCATAAAATTGTAGTAAAGAGTGAATGAGACACTTTCTGTAAAATGCTAAGCTTAGTGCCCAACATGCAGCTGGTACTCAGAAAGTGTTAGCTGTTGTCATTTTGCTGAGTTAAGAACAGACTCTTCACCTGATCCATGACACCAGACTCAGAGGCACTCAGAAGCCCCAGGTTGGCTCTTTAGGCCCTCATTCGAGAAAAAGACTAAAATAGCCCAATAGCTTTTTGGAGTGGAGGAACAAGTGATTTTGGGCCTTGCCATACAGAGCTGTATATTATTCTTATTGCATTGCATTGTGCATTGTGTTCAAGGCTGTACTGAATCATAGTGAAACCACTAGCCTGGATTTAAATCTCAGCTCTGCCATTTACCAACTGGGTGACCTTGGGAAAATTCACATTTTTGAGTCTCAGTTTCATCGTCTGCACAATGAGGCGATGATGATATCCTCCTCATAGGGTTGTTGGAGGATAAAGTGAGTTAATTATGTAAAGTCTTTACAGCAGGACTCCGCGCACTATAGATACGTAAAGATTAGCTAATATTGTTGCGTTCCTTTGTATTAAACTAGTAAATTCCTTTTCTTCTAAAAAAAAGGAGACTAGTACAGACTTTTCTTCTTTTGTGGGGAGAGATAACCCACAAAATCCAGGAAAGGAGATAAGCCAGACCTTGATGGTGGGAGTTTTTCCCTCTCCTACAAATAGGAGATGGAGGACGAACCCATGCCTTCCAAGACTGTGGGTGTGAAACATAAACCAGGCACAAAGACCGGGACTGACTCCAGGCAGCCACAGTGAGATGGCAGCTCCCTACAAGGAAGAGGTGAACCAGGGTGAAAAGGAAAGTAACCCTTTTATCTGAGGCTTTTCAGGGCATCAGTGAATAAGGCTGCCATACCTTGGGCTTTTTTGGAGACAACACAGAGACTCTAAGCTTCTGGCATTCCCTTCACCTCCACACTGAGAATGGGGGAGCTCATCACATAAGCCTTTCAGCTCAGGCAAATAGGGGCTTCTTTTGCCCCCTCAAAGACCCCCGAACAAGACAAAGCAGATGAGGCATGCATGAAAAGGCCACTGATAATCCGTGGCAGTAAATGCTACATAACAAAGAGGGACTGCAGGATAGGATTCCCGGGGGTCTGCCAGTAACTAGCTGCTAAGCCTTAGGCCAGCCACTTCACCTTGCTGAGCATCCGTTTCCACACCTGGGAAATCCTCTTATCCCAACCCTCAGTGTGCCGGGTGATCTCTAAGTAACATCCTCCCAGCTCTGTGATCCTGTAAGTGTTGGGACAGTAATTCCATTAGGAGTTCAAAGGAGGGACAGATCAATGGAGGTTGGAGTGGTCAGAGAGGGTTTCATGGAATTGATGAACTTGGGAGGGTTTGCATAGGCAGGAGGGAGGAAGTGCTGTTCTTGTTCCCTTGGCCTTCAAACCTCACCCTGACAGCTGGCAACCTTTCTGGACCCATTCATCAGGCCAGAAGAATTTCTCTCCAAGGAGTCCCTGCTCCCTTTCTCACCCCAGGATGTCATCCAACCACACCAAGAGAACCAGCAAAACCCCAAACCAAGGTCATAAACTGACTAAAATATCACCTGCCTTGAGGCCACCTGGAACAGTCTCCTTTCTAGTCAGGGGGATTGCATTCCATCTGTCTCTCAACAGCTAAGCATGCCCTGATCAACGGGAATGAATGTCCCCTAGGCTGGAGAGACTGTCTTGAAACAAGACGAGGACTGGATCCCACTGTTCTCTCTAAAAGAGAAGGATGATGTTCATTCATGAGTAGGGTTGTGGGTGGAGTGGATTCACTGAACTTGGCATCTCCCCCCCTTCCTATCATCATCTCCAGGAGGGCCCACCAAGGAAGCTTTCCTGGACACCTGCTTAGAAGGAAACCTATTACTTTACATCCCACACCCTTAAGTGGCTCAAACTGTCAAGCGCTGCTGGCCTCCCTGCCAAATCTAATCCAATGACACAAAAGGCCGTGGCTGTCCTTCCAAGCTAATTAGAGGCCCAAGAAAGGATGCAAGGAAGGGAGAGATCAGCCCCTGAGAAAATGGTACTTGTGAGAGCATCGTGGAATGCCAATGGGGATTAAACTTCCTGCTGTGTGCCTTTGCTCTGACCTCCATTTTTTATTCTCAGCTCTCTTTGGGGGCCCTTGCCTACCTCCTTGAAAAGCTGTACAGTAAGGTCATTCTCTATAGCAGGGGCCATCTGCCTATCGCCTGTGTTAGAAAGGTGACGGATTTTCCTTTTCTCCTAAAGGTCAAGCTAATTTACTCCCATGTGAGAGAGTCCAGTGTGCTTGTCATGAGTGAGAGCTGGGCTGTGATGATGGAAGTGGTCCCAGTAGCTCCAAGTCAGGAACCTGCCTCTTCCAGGAACCAAACCCCCTGGCTGCTTCTGGCTGAGAGATTGAGTCCAAGTGAAAGTACAGAGGCCCATGGTAACAGCTGGCCCTCCATAGGCCCTCCTGGTTATCAGTTTTCTGCAGTTCCATCCTTCCAGTCCTCAGTTCTGTCATTGACCTCTAGAGTCAGGGGAGTAGCTCAGCTTCATTAACGGCAGTTCTCTCAGGCTCCAGACCCTGAAACTGCCTTCAGCTTTTTCTGGCTAGTGACATGGAGGGTTATCATTTCAGATGTGACATCCAGAGGATTTTTCAGCATCTTTCCTTCCACTGCTACCAGAATAGACTGCAGAGGTCTCTGTCTGGGTTTGTCTGTCTGTTTTTAATTACACTTCAGAGTTAGGATCTCATATTATTTTCTAAAAATGAGAGGTGATTAATGCTGACAAAACATTGTACTTCAGCAAATGAGTAATGATGCCCTCTTTCTACAATGAGAAGACTTGTTCCTCACAGAAAAAAGCCCACAGTCACAGAATGACACAGCTGGAAGGAAGCTTAGAAATCATTCAGGGCAGCCCCTCAATTTCTAGATGAGGGAATGAGATTTGGAGGAGTGAAATGACTTGGATGCTCAGAAAATATGGCCTTAAAATATGGTTCCCAGTGACCCTGCTTCTCCTCCTTAGTGGCCTGGGAAGTTAGATGTTCTTCATGTTCCTACTTTTGGGGTCTGACTCTCATCTTGGAAAAACATATAGAAAACAGAAATGATGTGAGAAAGAGAGTAATGTTTCTACTTCAGATAAGAAAACTCTATCTCCACAAACTCTCTGCCCCTAGATCCTTAGGCCTTCTAGGTATCTATTTCCACATAGACTGGATCCTGGCTGGCTATACTGGGCATATCTGGTTTTGCTTCTCTCCCCACCCTGATTGTCATGAGTGATTGAGACTCCAGATGATTGGAGTAGAGAGAGACACCTGACCCTGAGGATCCTCATTCATAGACCAATCATCTGCCAATGACATGGCCTGGTTCCAAATGTTGAAATTGTAGTTAGGTGACATAAGGCCCTGGACCTGGAAGGCCACGCAGATCCCGGTACTAGGTGACCATGTGGGACTTTGTGCAGAAACAGTAAGCGGAAAGGGTGGGTTTGTTAAAAGAAGCAAGAGGATAGAATCATTATAGAGACACATGGGCATAAGTGACCATGTTCCCCAGAAAGAGGAAAGAGGACTGTGGCTCTTGGTAATTTCTAGTGTCATGAGGTTCTGCTTTACTTCATTTCTCACCCTTGACTGGCATGGATTTTCACAATCTCCTATCCTCTGTCCTTTATTTGTATTGGCCTTGGTCCTCACACCTACAACATCTCTAATCAGAACATTATCTTGTACTATCCATGTCTGTAAGTCTTGTTCCTCAAACCAGGAACAAGCTCTCAAAGGCCAGAGGTTTATGTCTTAGCCTTTTGAAAAATCTTTCCAAGTAACTTGTACATATGACAAGTTGAAATGTTGGGCTGAAAGGCTTTCTGGAAATTCAGTTTTATAAGCCCTTTTAAACATTTACATCAGTTGGCCCCAAGGAAGCCTTGTTGAGCTTTCCAACATAAAGCTGCTCAGTATTAACTGTCACTATACAGTTGACTTTGAACAATGAGAGTGTTAGGGATGCAATCGAAAATTCGAGTATAACTTTTGATCCCCCCCAAACTTAATTACTAGTAGTCTATGTTGACTGGATAAGCAGTCAGTTAACACATATTTTTTATGTTGTATGTATTA